TTTTTTTTTTTTTTTTTTTTTTTGAATTGAAAACTAAAAAATATGAATGCGGATTTTTGTAATTGTATATTCAATGATTGATTAATTGGAATAATACTATCTATATTCTATAATAGAATTCTAATGTTCTATTAGAATCTAATATCTTAGTTAGACAAGGGCTAATAAATTCGATTACTTGAGAAAAGAAGGCTTGACGAAAGGTTGGAGAGCGCTTCGCATTACATCAGTCTTTCCCCTGGGCTCCGGTGGTTACCTCAATAGTTGTTCATCACCCGTTAGGTATTCCTCAAGACAGGTGCCACATTCATGGAGGACGAAAGAGGATAACGCTTGTTGAGGGTTGACCTCTATGCCATAGCCTACACCTAGCAATTCATTTACAAGATTCATATTATTACTAACACAATATCTAATGAGATTTGGGTTTTAGTTTTCTGTTATATGATTTATTCAACAAAAGGGAGCCCCGAAAAAAAAAGAAAACAAACACACACACACAAAAAAAAGGTATTNCACAAGGTGTTCGTACATATTACTTTACATTTAATTTTATTTTTATTTCTACAAAAACACCATAATTCAGAATAAAACCATCCCATATATATTAATTCAGAATGTGCTGAGCTTAAGTGGCAGACTCGCATGATTCGGGATTCTGTGACAAAATTATATGCTCTAACTTGGATAGATTTTAATTTACTTACAATCCAAAAATAATTACGTCCGGATTATCCCTAAATATATTGATTATTTATTGTCATGTTGTAAGTATTAATTGAATTTTAATATCATTTCTTATTATAACCATTGAATTGTAAATGTATTTGAAAAGTTAATAACTTTTGTATTTTTTATTAGTTTTACATGTATAATATATCAAATTAATCATCTCGTGATAAGTTTCGATTTAACATCCATATTGTATGTATAAAACAATAATTATATTTATCTTTATAACAATAATAAAATTATATTTTAATATTAATTACAAAAATAAAGTTATTTATCAATTAATATATTTATATTTCAAGTAGTTATATGATATAAGTTATAAAAATTATTATAATATAACACATGTAAGTCGCACAAGTAATAAATATCATTCTAAAATTAATAATAATTTTTGTAAGAAAATAAATTAAATTTTCTCATTAATTTTAAAATTTAAGAATTTTAACAAGCATCCGTGTAATATACGAGTGTTGTACTAGTATGATTTATTCAACAAAAGGGAGCCCAAAAAAAAAAAGAAAACAAACACACACACACAAAAAAAAGGTATTTGTACATATTACTTTACATTTTAGTTTTAATTTTATTTTACAAAAACACTATAATCTATACTTATATAAAAAAGTTGTTGGTAAAATTATTTTTAGTAACTTTGACCAAAAATATAAATGGGTTGACTTACTTTTAATAGAAATTTTGAAAAAACATGTAGATCTTTAGTAACAAAATCTAAATCTCATTTTTCTGTAACAAATTTGGAGATTCTCATACCAAATATGAATCCTATTTTTTTGGTGACAAGTTTGGAGATTCACGAAAATAAATTCAAATACAAATTAAATTAAAAATCGTGCAAATTGGATACAAATTTAGGAAATAAATAGTTGTATAATTCTTAACAAATTCTTTCAATATTTTTTAATAATTTTTCTTTAAAAAAATGTGTGCAAATTGGATAAAACCACATGCAATTTTTATTTTAAAACAAAATTAAAATTTGGACGGGATATACATTCAAAATCGTATCTACCTTTTGGTAACAAAATCGGTTCATCTTTGACATTTACAATCAAACCTTATTCAATTATTTAGGAAAGAAAATTCAAATCAAATCATATGCAACTTTTTAAAATTTGAATAAACTGATGTTTTCGGATTCTTATGTTTTTCTTAACCACGTTTTACCAAGAAACAGTTGCATAAATCTTAACAAAATATTCCGATCTTTTATTAGAATTAATTTTAATTTAATTTGTTTAGTAAAAAAAATCGCTGCAATGTAGAAAATTTTGGTTCCATTTTAGAAAAAATTGATGCTTTTTTTTTTTTCACTTTGTTTTAACCAAACATTCGGATCAATTTGTTTGGTAAAAAAATCAGTGTTTGGTATGAAAATTCGGTTGAATTTTTAGGAAAAACAAATGATTCTTTTCAATTTTACTTAATCAAAATTCTGAATTAGAATGAAAAAAAATGGTGTGAAAACACCCTAAAAATCTCTACTTTCTTTCTACTATAATTTTGTTTAATAAATAAGATCCCTTAATTTTGTTTAAAAAAAATAATTTGTTAATTAATAACTAATAATACATAATTTTAGATAAAATTCAAACACTCATATCATTTTTTACATTCCAAAGAATCAAATTAAGAATGTTATACATAAAAAAGTGGTCAATAATATATAAATTTCGTTCTCATGATATTTTTAATGTCAATGGGACAATTTAAATACAAAAAGTACATTTTAAAAATAAAGTAGGTAATAAAACTCCCGTGCATGGTACGGGTACTGTACTAGTTCAGAATAAAACCATAAATAAAATTAATCATAAAGGACTAAGAAAAATACTATTTCCAATTGGCCCACATATCCAAGCCCAATTTTGAAGCTTATTTCCCGTATTAGATCCAGCTCTGTTATCTTTTCTAATTGTGATTTTGGCCTCACATTTAGATCTTTTGCAAAATGGAATTCGAGAGCGACCAGGAGTCAGCCGTCGCCACCAATTCGCCGGCCGGAGTTGTAAGCAAACTATCTGCGATGATTTTTACACACCTTAATTATTTTCATTTTTCACTGCGCTTCGAACTTTCACTCGTTTTATTTACTGTTTAAGCTCAATATATACTGTTGGTTAAATTTCCCTTTTTTGGGGCTATGGTGGAAGGGTGAAATTGGGAATTTTCCGCCTTTTCCTCAAATTTGTGTTTTAGATGTGCCGGGGAAGAAATCTATTTTAAATACAGCTGTTTTTCGTTTATGGTATTCCATGTTTATAGATTCCCGGTGAGTCGTGGTGGCCAGAAAATTTTGGAAACTTTGCTGTTATATTGTCGGCGGCTAGGAAAACCATAGATTCCTGGAGAAGAAATGGCTTTCTATTCATATATTTTACATAAAAATCCAAACGAGCTCAGTTAAGCTAGAAAATTTTAGAAAAATTTAGAAAATTTAACTAAGATTTGACGAACACCAAGGTACGTGTGATGAAATTGAAGGTACTATTGAATAAGTCAAGTAAATAGCTTCTAAATGGCGTATGATTTGATGAAATTGAAGGTATTGTTGGATAGTTTGACAATATTAGTTGACAACATTAGTTAAAATTTTATTGAATCAAATCTTAGCTATACTTTTATGTGCATCTCAACCATCCACATCATGCCACAACATATGAAATGTTGTACAAAAAAATTTTTACACGTAGCTTTTCCAAAAAAGAATAGTATATTGACAAACTGAAATATGTTGTTCTTTTAACATTAAAGTTTAGACAAATTCCTTACAAAAAGTTGTATCTACTTTGCTACATAGATGGCGAGCTGCAATCGTACTCCGATTTCTTATTTCAGGCGGAGGTTTCGGTTTCGGTCGACAAACACAGAGTCCCTCTCCGAAGATTTGCTTTTCAACATTCTCATTCGTCTCCCGGCTCAAGATATCCACGACTCGGCAAGGCTCGTTTGCCGCAGGTGGGCCCACCTAACCCGCTCCCGTGACTTCATATGCACGCACCTTCGCCGTGCGAGCATTGGGCTCCTTTTACAAAACCCAACTTCCCTTGAAGATTTGATTTTCATCTCCGGTGGGCCAATGGGCCGGATCGAGTCATCCCGGTCGCGCCACGAATTGGGCCTGTGCATACGGGCCAGCTCTCATGGCTTGGTTTTGATGCTCTCACCTTCCGGTCCCTGTACTCTCCGCATCATGAATCCCGGGACAACCGAGTATCTCGATCTTCCTCCGTTTTTGGGTCGAAGATATTTTAGGCCCGGTCCTTGTTTGACTTATGTGGCGGCAACTAACGAGTACAAAGTGGTGGTGCAAGCCCAATTCACGAGAGGCTTACGTGGCGAGGTTTCGTACGAGTTTGCCGTGTTGACTGTGGGGACCGGCACCTCGTGGAGGTACGTGGGCACGGTTGACCGTCTAACTCGTGAGACGAAGACTTTGCTTCCGATTAGTGACCCATTGATAACCGAGGGTTTCGTGCATTGGGCCACGTATAGTGGTGACGGATCGACTATTTTGACGCTCGATGCGAAAACCGAGGTTTTGACCAAGTCGAGGTTTCCCGTGACTTTAGGTCGTTCGGGGGAGAGTAAGTTTTTAGTGTCGGGAGGGAAGAATTTGACGCTTGTGGTGAAAAAGCTCGGGAGTTTTTTCTCGTGGGACGTGTGGGAGATGAGTCCCGAGATGAGGGTTTGGAGGAAGACGATTATTGTCTATTTGGAGGAGGAGAGGTTAAAAGGGATTATTCGTGACCGTGACAAAAAGGTGGTTTTTTATGCAAATAGTGTTTGGGTTAATCCGGTGGGTTGGATAAATTATCCGGAGGTTTTGGTCTTTGCTCCGGTTAAAGGTCGATATTGCATCTTGTATTGGGTTCGTAAGCGTGAGATTGAGTCGATTGATCTGCCTAAGGATGCTGCAAGATATAAGTATAGGGCTTATCACAGTGGATTGGTGTCACCCATAAGAATTTGATGGATATATTGAGGTTGTGTTACTTGTTTGGAAGTCATTTTTATTTTTATTTTTATTTTTCTGCAGTAAAAGCTATTGTTTCTTGGTAGTCATATCTCAAGATGATATCAAACATTTACTTGGCTAATTATTAGGATATAATGTTTGTTTATGAAATTTTTCAAAAAATTTCCAACATTTTAACTCTACTATTTTTCTTAATTCAACTTTAATTAACTCCACTATCATCAAAATTATCAATATAATTAAATAATATCAATCCATCATTCATACATACCACATCAACTTTAATTCATTATTCATCCACTCACATTATTTTAATAACCATCACTTTAAATCTCTCTCTCCTACTTTTACATCAAATCAATTTTAATTATTTTATTTTAAATATTATTTTAATATACCAACTAACAACTAACCGTACCACATTTTTCAAAATTAACCAAACAAAATCAAAATTGTTTATAAACAAACAAGCTCATTTATAAAAGTTGATTTTACAGTTGAGAAACATGGATATGAAAACCCAAAGGAAGTCGAACTTGAATGGAAGAGATTTTGAGGAAAAAGTGGTTGATTTGTTTTTCAAAGGAAGTCAAATTTGAATGAAAGATAATAGTAAGGAAAAGAATGTGATTTGAGGGAAAACTAGAAATGATAATTGGGCAAACAATGGCTATAATAATTATAATTTTAATATTTTTGTAACTAGTTAGATGGTTATAGTCATAAAAAATATATTATTCTATATATTTTGTGCAACTTATATAGAAATTCATATAAAAGTAAAATAATTTTTAACTATATTTTTTCTTTTTACTAATGACCAAATTTATAAAATATATTAATATATCCATTGTCTACCTTATAATCTTACAAAAAAGCAAGTTTTGTTATGCATCAATCTTCTTATCATTGTGTATAACAATGAAGAGCCTAACCCAAGTGTGCTCAACAAAATCTCAATCATAAATAAGGCAACTACGTACTCTTAAATCCTAGCAGTGAACTTGGTGGTTTTGCTATGGAGCCAACAGTTGACTTTATAGTGGAGTCAACCTTCTATATACAACAAATAAATTTACCATATTCTCTTATTACTTAAATAACACTAATATAATTTTATTAATATGGTAGGTTTATTTGTTGTATATAGAAGGTTGGCTCCATAGCAAAACCGGTGAACTTGATACCTGTACTAATTTGGGTATTGCAAGATCGATCAATCATACTATTACTAATACAATATGTTATGAGATTGAGTTTTAGTTTTTATATATGTGAATTCTTCAACAATACGTTAGGAGATTTGAGTTTTAGTTTTCATCTATACTTATATTAAAAGGTATAACATTTACTAGATTTAGTATAAAGAAAAGTCAACAGCATTTATTGCATTACTATTTCTGTATTATACAATCTATACTTCTATAAAAGGAGATTCTATTTACTACATTTACTATCCAGAAAAGTCAACTGCATTAAATGTCATTACTATTCTGGTATTATAATATTTTATTTATTTAATTGATTTATTTATTTGTTTTATTTTAAAAAGGTAAGTATAATAAAAAGATTTTAATAATAAAAAAATTAAATACCAAATAAAAATATATACTTTGACTTATTTGATTATATTTGGTATTTGATTATACCAAATATATTTCTATTTAGTATATACATTAAATACTTACTAAAGTATTTATTTGTTAAAGTTAAGTATAGATTTATTTATATTATCAAATCATAAAAAAATATTAAATCCATATTGTAAAAAAAAATCATATAATTTTATAACAATTCTGCTACACTATTTAACAATATTTTTTTTTGATTATATAATAAAATAATAATTAAATATTATATGGTGAACAACAATAAGTAAAACTGTTACTTTCTCTTATATCAAGGGATAAATTTATATGCTAAAATTAAATTTTTATTAGTATAAATGTTTTAGTGACATAATATATTAATTATTTTACAAGCTAGCCCTAACATGCTTATATTTAATGTTTTAAAAGATGTAGAAAAAAAACTTATAATAACTCTATTGTTTTTTAGACTTAAACGTTGATTAAAAGAGGTAAAAATTCCTAATTTTTTAGACTTAAACGTTGATTAACACCATAGATTGAGAGTTTATATTTAATAAAATTCCTAATTGTAATAAAAAAATTAGTTTTTGCTATATTTCAGAATATCTTTAAATTCATTATAAAAATATAATGAAAAAAAAAAACTACAATGAAAAAAGCAAGTCAGCTATATATCGATTTGTTGTACTCCTCAAATCACATTCACAATTTGGCTACAAGGAAAGGAAACTCATTGATTAAAATATTATTTTGTTGTACAAGAGACTTTAAGACTCCACTTGAATATTATAAAACTTTTATTCAATATTGTACAATTTTCTTGCGTATTATAAACTTTTATTGAATATTGCATCTTATAATATAATATTTTCCAAATAAATATATCTCGTGCTTCGCACAGGTCACGTACTATATATATCCCGTGCATTTTTCTTTATTCATGTATATAATTATAAGCCTGGATAAATAGCCTTAAAATTATGCATCTCGTGCATCGCACGGGCTCTGTACTAGTATATATGAATTCTTCAACAAGAGGGAACTCAAAGACATACACAAACAAAGTCTGTGTACGTATTATTATACATTTTAAAATTTATATAAATACACTATAATTCAAAATAAAATATTAATACAAAATAAAAACCATAAATAAACATTTTAAAATTTTTACAATTACACTATAATTCAAAATAAAAGTATAAAACCGTAAATAAACTAATAATAGACGAGTTATTGGCCCACTTATCCAAGCCCAATGTTGACGCTTATTTCCTGTGATTAGATCCAGCTTTGTTATTTTTTTCGAATTGTGTTTTTAATCTTTCTACTAGTTTTTAACCCGTGCATTTGCACGGAAAATAATATAATAGAACAAAAAATAATAAAAATATATAAAAAATAGTAAAAATCATAATATAACCATTAGAAAAATGTTCTAGGAAATAATAACTAAATATTGTTAAACAATTCTTTATATACAACGTTTGTGTTTTTTCTATTAACAGAATTTCCATTACTACAAATCACTATCTTCAAATTAAGATATATAATGATTTTAAGTGTTTAAATAATTATTGTATTTTGTACTATAGATCATATAGGAAATTTAAAAAAAAAATACTAAAAAAATACCAGCAGCATATTACAAAATAAATAATTGTATTTAGTTGATAAATAATGATATGTGCCAAATATTTAAGACATTTGAACAAAATGGCAATTTTTGGGCCATAAAGAAATATATTGATTGAATGATAAAAAAAACCCAAATTAGAAGTCCACTTAATTTTTTAGGGTAGCCAAAATCAAATATAAAACAGGTCAATGATAACATGACTATAAATAGAGATAAACTCCTTGAGAGTGATGTAAGCTATTTTTTTTTTGTTTGATGTCGGCGCTTCTCTCGTTATTCACTCTATTTGAAACCCTAATCCTTAACCTGATCTTACGACAAACTCGGCGAGATTCAATACAAAACAACTATTTTACCGGAGATTTTCTCCGGGTAAAGTCTTAAAAAATTAAAAGAAAAAAGACATCCGAGAAATGTTGTTTTTGTGACCAACAATAGTGATCGAAAAATAAAATGTTCGTCCTGATTTCTTAATCTGTGTTGCTAAATCTTAACAGGTCGATCAAAATCGGGCGATAATATTACAAATCTATGATGAGCTGAAATATTTTTTGTTAAAAGTAGTTTTTATTTTTTATTATTTTCAATAATCTGTGTCGTTTTTCGAAATTCTTTGTGAATAAGCTTCAAGATATATCATATTTTATACATAATTCAAAATTATTTAGATGTTTTTCAAAATCGTTTTTCAAAGAGAATATGATATTGGTCGAACTTTTTCAAACTTTTATATATTTTGTTCAGGGTTTGAAAAAATATGTAAGTTTCTAACAGATCTGTTTAGCTCTACTAACAAATATATAGGTAAGTTTATAACATATCTGTTCATATCTGTTTATAACATACATATGTAACTTTTATGTATTTTGTTCAGATTTTGAAAACTAAATAGTTCAATTATTTGTCGTCTTTCTCATCATATCAGTAAGTGAAGCTTTGCTAACACTTGTTCAAAATCGCTTTTCGTTGTTGTTTAAAGTATTTTGCCGAAGTTTTTTCAATTTTTTTAGTATTTTGTTCAAAATTTGAAAATATTAGGTAAGTTTTTAACAAATCTGTTTAGATATATTTATCGCATATTAGGAATTTCTTGTTTAATGTTTAAAAGAATCTGTAGGAATTTTTATTTTTAAAACTTTTACGCAAAAAAATCAATTTTAATATAAAGGGAGATGTCTTGATAAAAGTTGAATGTGTTGATAATGATAGGGAAATCAAATTATTTTTCTTTCTATATTGTATAGTGTTCAATAATGTTCCACATAATTTGCTGTGTTTTTAATTTTGATTTCTTCATATAGATTTGACTTTTTTTGTTGATTATTAATTATGCTTGATATTTCTATATTATGCAACAATCTGCCATTATATACAATGCCTTCTTAATCCTTATTATTTGACTTCGCCAATTTTCGTTTATTATGACTTTCTATTGCTGAAAGTATGTTTTTTATGCATTAAAAAATATTGATGTTTTGGATATGTTTTGATGCTATAATCATGCAGAAATTTGTCCCGCCACTTTTTTCTTAAAGAGGAATTGTTTAATGAAAATTAATCATATTTATATTTATAATTGTGAAATAATTTTTTTTCACGGCCAACAGTTATTTTTTTTAATGAAAAATATGAGACAATTTATTCAACACACTTTTTAATGTATAAAAAAAGAATATTGATTGCGATAATCAAATATGCAGAAATCATGTATTTTATTGAATAGTAGTAATATAAAATATTTTATTATTACTACCAAATAGAAAGTCAAAGATAGTTAATTTTGCACTATTAATTATGATCATATGGATTTTTTTTTTATACATATGTTTTTTCAATGAACTTTTTAAATGATAATATTTACAATATAGACTTTGCTATAATAATTATATAGACCGTGTTATAATAATAATTTATTTATTTAATTCATTATTTTTTTTAATTCATCTTATTATGCGTATAGTCTAAGTTTATAAATTATATGTCATTTAAATGTATCTATACTACTAATTTATAAGGTTTTACCATTTGGGGAGCTAAAGTTTTAGTTTTAATTATGAAACTAATCTTTCTTATCATTTTATAGTTATATGTTTGATTGAGTATGAAATTAAATTACAAAAAAATAATTTTATTTTTTACATTGTAATGTAACATGATATGTATTATAATGTTTGTAATTAATACATTTATTAATATTTCTTATAACTTTAATTACTTATTCAATTCATAATGAAATAAGAAATAATAATATATAGTTTCTGCACAACAATAATGACTGTCACATTTATATATATAAATGAGAATAAGAAACATAAATGTGTGATTAACCAAAAGAAACATTTTTAATTTAGTTATTAACTAATTAAGTTTAACTAAAAGAAACCTTCTTAAATGTGGAATTAATGAGTAATTAATTAAAAAAATATAACTTCTTTTAGAGGGAAAATGAAAATATTTTTATTAAATGTTTTATTAAATGGGGTTAGTTAGCAATTATATATATATATATTTGACATTTATAAACGCTGAAATTTCTTAATTGCCATTTTCTTGAGAAACAATACACCAGAACTGTTTCACTTAATTTTAAAGCCAAAAATACCCCTATCATCTATACTTATATTAAAAGGTATCCCATTTACTAGATTTAGTATAAAGAAAAGTCAAAGGTAATTAATGTTTGTTGGAAATAGAATGACATTAATTACAGATTTGTTTTGGTATTTATAGCTTGACATTAAAGATTTGTTATGGGATAAAAATCAGAACCGATTTTTTTTACCTTTGCTGGAAAAGTCAAATGTAAGTATAGATTTGAAACGTTGGGTTTAACATTGAATAAGTTGAAACTTCGAATATATTTCGGGTATTAAAAGTGATAATTTCTCTCCTGCACGTAGAAGGGCAATGCTACACGTACAATTATAGTTTGACAATATTAGTTGACAATTAGTTAAAATTTCCATTGAATCAAATCTTAGCTATACTTTTATTTGCATGTCAACCATCCACATCATGGCACAACATGAAATGTTGTACAAAAAAATCGTACACGTAGCTTTCCCCAAAAAAGAATAATATATTGACATATTGAAATATGTTGTTCTTTTAACATTAAAGTTTAGACACAAAAAAGAATAATATATTGACATATTGAAATATGTTGTTCTTTTAACATTAAAGTTTAGACAGACTCCTAACATTGTATCTATTTTGCTACATAGATGGCGAGTTGCGATCGTACTCCGAGGTTGTATCTATTTTGTTCACGAGATCTCATAACTGTGAATTCAGTGCATCTGAGGTAGCGGCAGCCATGTCCATGCTTCTTGATAGGTTTGTGATCAGAGAGCTGCCCCCAATGCTCTCTGAGCTTATCACGGGAAACGCGCGCGGCACCTTACACATTTATATTTGTTCTTCCTGGCCGAGCAAAACAGCCTCCGAGAAAAGCGCGGCCTCGGAGTGAAAGAGGATTCCAACCGAGGAAGGAAAAGCTCGAACAACAGGAACTTATTATTATTATTATTGAATTATTGAACACAGTAAGTAATAAATTGATTAGAAAAAAATAATAATACTAATATTATTTTGTTATATTATGGAGTTGGGTTAAGAAAAATGCGGTGATCCTTGCATCAAGAGCCTCAAAGGAAAGGATTAGTTGTCATGTTTGCATTGCATTGATTGTTAATGGTGTAATCTTAAATTGATCCTCAAGACTTCTGTTCTCTGTGCTCAAAGTGTCCTTTTCCTCCCTCAAGTTTAAGAACTCATACCATTCACCTCTAGCCTCTTCCACAATCTCAGCTTACTATTTTTTCTGAATATCCAAGCATTCATATCCTTCCACAGCACCCACAACAGGTATATGGATACACACACTCTTTCTTTCTTCAAGGCAGTTCCCTGTACCAACTGTTAAAGTCACCTTCTCCACTTTCCAAAGCAGTCCATTGCACCCTTAAAAGTTTCCAGCAGTTTTTGGAAACTTTTAAGGGTGCAATGGACTGCTTTGGATAGTGGAGAAGGTGACTTTAACAGTTGGTACAGGGAACTGCCTTGAAAAAAGAGTGTGTGTATCCATATACCTGTTGTGGGCGCTGTGGAAGGATAGTGGAAGGATAGAAATGCTTGGATATTCAGAAAAAATAGTAAGCTGGAGCAACAGATTGTGGAAGAGGTTAGAGGTGTGGTATGAGTTCTTAAGCTTGAGGGAGGAAAAGGACACTTTGAGCACAGAGAACAGAAGTAGCCATTCAGGTAAACTTGAGGACCAATTTAAGATTACACCATTAACAAAATCAATGCAAACATGACAACTAACCTAGGGCTTTCCTTTGAGGCTTTTGATGCAGGATCACCGCATTTTTCTTAACCCAACTCCATAATATAACAAAATAATATTAGTATTATTATTTTTTTCTAATCAATTTATTACTTACTGTTCAATAATAATAATAATAAGTTCCTATTATTTTCAACAGTTCGAGCTTTTCCTTCCTCGGTTGGCATCCTCTTTCACTCCGAGGCCGCGCTTTTCTTGGAGGCTGTTCTGCTCGGCCAGGAAGAACAACAAATATAAATATGTAAGGTGCCGCGTGCGTTTTCTGTCGACTGGTAAGCTCAGAGTGCATTGGGACAGCTCTTTGATCACAAACCTATCAAGAAGCATGGACATGGCTGTCGCTGTGGAAACTTCTTTCTTACCTCAGATGCACTGAATTCACAGTTATTCGGGACCGTGATAAAAAGGTGGTTTTCGATGCGAATGGTGTTCAGGTTTTTCCGGTCGGTTGGATAAATTTATCCGGAGGTTTTGGTCTTTGCTCCGGGTAAAGGTCGATATTGCATCTTGTATTGGGTTCGTACGCGTGAGATTGAGTCGATTGATCTGCCTATGGATGCTGCAGGATATAAGTATAGGGCTTATCACAGTGGATTGGTGTCACCCATAAGAATTTGATGGATATATTGAGGTTGTGTTTCTTGTTTGGAAGTCATTTTTATTTTTATTTTTCTGCAGTAAAAGGTATTGTTTGTTGGTAGTCATATCTCAAGATGATATCAAACATTTACTTGGCTAATTATTGGGATATAAAGCTCGTTTATATAAGTTGATTTTACAGTTGAGAAACATGGTACATGGATATGAAAACCGAAAGGATCGAACTTGAATGGAAGAGATTTTGAGGAAAAAGTGGTTGATTTGTTTTTCAAAGGAAGTCAAATTTGAATGAAAGATAATAGTAAGGAAAAGAATTTGATTCGAGGGAAAACTAGAAATGATAATTGGGCAAACAATTGCTATAATAATTATAGTTTTAATTTTTTTGTAACTAGTTAAATGGTTATAGTCATAAAAATCATATTATTCTATATATTTTGTGCAACTTATATAGCAATTCATATAAAAGTAAAATAATTTTTAACTATATTTTTCTTTTTACTAATGACCAAATTTATAAAATATAATAATATATCCATTGTCTACCTTATAATCTTACAAAAAAGCAAGTTTTGTTATGCATCAATCTTCTTATCATTGTGTATAACAATGAAGAGCCTAACCCAAGTGTGCTCAACAAAATCTCAATCATAAATAAGGCAAATACGTACTCCTAAATCCTAACAATGAACTTGGTACCTGTACTGATTTGGGTATTGCAAGATCGATCAATCATGCTATTGCTAACACAATATGTTATGAGATTGAGTTTTAGTTTTCATATATGTGAATTCTTCAACAAGAGGGAACCCAAAGACAAACACAAACAAAGTTTGTGTACGTGTTATTATACATTTTAAAATTTATATAAATACACTATAATTCAAAATAAAACATAAATAAACATTTTAAATTTTTTATAAATACACTATAATTCAAAATAAAAACCATAAATAAACATTTTAAAATTTTTACAATTACACTATAATTCAAAATAAAAGTATAAAACCGTAAATAAACTAATAATAGGCGAGTTATAAACAAAAAGACTCTTTCCAATTGGCCCACTTATCCAAGCCCAATGTTGAAGCTTATTTCCTGTGATTAGATCCAGCTTTGTTATGTTTTCGAATTGTGTTTTTAATCTTTCTATTTGACCTTTATAAAGGCTGAAACTTCTATATTGCCATTTTCTTGAGGAACAATACACCAGAACTGTTTCACTTAAATTTAAAGCCAAAAATACCCCTATCATTTACCTTTATTCCTCGTCCAATAATTACATCAACGGTCCACAACCAATCTCTGCCTAATCCAAACACATCGACGGATGGCATTTTTCGAGAAAAACACGCCAAAAACGAGGCCAACAGAAATAGGGCTCTTGGCAAAATTTATATAAAATCCCCTAAATTTATCTCTCTACACATTTCCTCTCTCTGGGTTTTTTCTTCTAAATTACTGACGAGCTAAATTACTGACGAACAATGGGCAAGGGACCTGGACTCTACTCCGATATCGGCAAGCGAGCTCGAGGTGAGGTTTTGATTTGATCGCCTTGAGTTTCAATCGTTCAATCTGTTATTCGTTTTTTGGTTTTTTGATTTCTGTTTTTCGGTTTAGATCTGCTGAATAGGGATTTTCAGAGCGACCAGAAGTTGACAGTCACTACCATCTCGCCCACCGGAGTTGTAAGTTGATTTTTGCGGCGGTTTTATGGATCTGACACTGTTTTGCTTTTATTTTTTCGAAATAGTTTGTGTTTTGAAATTTTGCTGAGTTTGTTTACTGTTGTGGCGGGATGCATGAATGAATAATATCTAAAAATTTGATTCGAGCAAGAATATTTTTGTAAGTTTGTATCTCATATGTTTACGATTCATGCTTAATTCATGTCATTTTGTCAGATGTTGTGGTGAACTATTGTAGTAGAACAATCTGCTTTATTGTGCATCTATTGTAGTTTGAGTCTCATTATGTCCAATCTTTCAGTGTATTCGATTTGATTTTGAAATTAAAATATTCATATAAATGCATTGGTTGGTAGCATTATGAGGAATTGAAGTGCCAGTATAGTTTTCTGTGTTTGTAGAGATTAAATTCGAGTTGATATTACATTTGTCCTATGTAGAGAGCATTAACTATATATGTGGTTTAACTAACATATGTCTATGAAGGTATTGTTAGATATAGTAATTTCTTTGTTAGGTTTACCTAGCTGGCTCACACGTATTGAACTTGTTTGAGGCTAAGTTGAATTTGCTGATAAAAATGTAAAAGGAAATATTGGTTTTTGTTAGTTTGTGATGCTACTTGGTTGGAATTCGTATTAAATATTTTTTTATGATTGGGTCGAATCTTGATATTATAGTTGTGTGGAAGCCTTGCGTTTAACTTAAGTTATATGACACATTTGGGATGTGGCTTGTAGTGGGAATATGTATTTGGTGAGGTTATGGGTATGAGAATAAAATTTGTGGAAAGAATCATTTGATATGCTCTCTAGACAGTGCATCTGTTTCATCCTGTTATTAATTATACTTCCTCAATCAGTTTCGGTTCACATTATACTAGTTGATGCTCATTGGCATGGCTTATAGTTTTTCATAATTTATGTTTATCTATCTGGTCATGAAGTTTACAACTATGCTACCTTGCCTATACCAATACACTTATGGATGTTGTGGTATCTGTAATTTATCTTTTTGTATTTTTTTATCAATTATTTCTGTTTATTTTTGTATTTTTTATTTTTTTGTTTTGTAGACTCTCACTTCGTCGGGAACAAAGAAAGGTGATTTGTTTCTTGCTGATATCAACACTCAGCTGAAGCACAAGAATGTCACCACCGATATTAAAGTGGATACTGCTTCGAATGTAAGCTATGTTGTTGTTCACTCTCCTCGCAAACTTATTCTCTTTTACCTTTTTGTTTATCAGTTCTTGTAAACCCGCTGGTTTACTGGATTGGGCCATCTTTTCTTTTTACCCTATTGAACTTACAATTGACTTGTCTATCCAAACGTGATGCCAGTTGTTCACCACTTTCACAATTGACGAGCCTGCCCCTGGGCTGAAAGCAATCTTCAGCTTACGAATTCCCGATCAGAGGTCTGGAAAGGTAAGAAAGAAATCAGCTCCATTTTTCTTCGTTTTTCTTTTTTCTTTTTTTTTTTTTTTTTTACATTACCCTCTCTAATATTTTCCTTCTCATTGACCATTGTTTAGCTTGAACTCCAATATTTGAATGACTATGCTGGGCTAAGCTCGAGCGTTGGTTTGACCGCCAATCCCATTGTCAACTTCTCGGGTGTTGTGGGCAACAACAAACTCGCTCTTGGTGGTGATGTGTCCTTTGACTCCAAGGAAGGTACCTTTGCGAAATGCAATTTCGGAGCAAGTTTCGCCAATGCAGATCTTATTGCTGCCTTGACATTGTAAGCGTGTTTCCATTCTTTTTATGGTAAAAAGTGTTAGAAGACATTAATTAAGGGCGTGATTGGATATGAATTTTAACCGGTTATGACTAGTTGGCTGATTGGTAAAAAAGATATGAATTCTGAGTTGGATGATTGGATATGAATTTCGCACGAACTTATCTCTTCCAATAATCTTTCTCATCCTTTTACATCACATCAACTTTAATCATTGCATTTTAAATATTATTTAATTTCAAACTCAAATGCATCCCCTCAATCAACTTTATTCAAAATAATTCACTTTAACCAAACAAAACCGGTCAAGACAAGTTGGATTCATATCCAATCGCGCCCTAAATCTTAAAATAACTAAACGACTATGTTCCCGTTGCTTTTAGGAACGAAAAGGGAGATAAGCTTAGTGCATCATATTACCACACGGTGAGCCCGTTGACCAACACAGCTGTGGGTGCAGAGATTACCCACAGCTTCTCGAGCAATGAAAACACCATAACAGTCGGTACTCAGCACTCGCTTGATCCGTTGACCTCGGTCAAAGCACGAGTCAACAACTTTGGAAAAGCGAGTGCCTTGATCCAGCACGAGTGGAGACCAAAATCGCTAATCACCCTCTCGACTGAGGTTGAAACAAAGTCCATTGATAAAAGTGCCAAGTTCGGGCTGGCTCTTGCCTTGAAGCCTTGAGTTTTTAGGTGATTTCGCGTTTTTTTTCAGATTCGTTAATGAGGATGGTTTTGGTCTGTTTTGGTGGATGGGGTTCTTTTTTTTATGCGGCGTATTTTGGTTCTTGTGGAAATAATCTTATTGACGTTAAACTTGGAACGATTGGTTTCTTGGTTTTTGAGGATTTATGCCGTTATCGAACCTGTGTATTATCTGGCTAACTGACATTGGCTCTCTTATTTCTGCAATCAAGTTGTTTCTCATTTTTTATTGGTGTTTCTGAGGTTGAAGTGGAGTGTCATGAGATAGATGAAAATTTTTCATGATATTGATTTTTTTCCTGCCAAAAGATTTATATAGTTCTTAGGCAAAGCCTGTGTATCAGAGGTTTAAATGCTCAAAAATATTTAAATGCTCAAAATTTTGGCTTGTTCCCGCAAACTATTGAAGCACTATGAATTCTATTACAAGTAAAAATTAGTTGGTTGTTTTTACTGTTTTATCAACTCTTATCTTGATTTTCGAGATGTGCTAGCGGTCTTGCAACTATGTGAATTGGCCATCATAAATTGTCCTTTGTTTTTTAATTTTTTTTGTGTGTGTGTGTTTGTGTGTGTCCCTTTAAAACAATTGTATAAGAACATATTCATAAAGCATGTTCCTCTTCAATGGACATGTATAAGAATACATTTGTAAAGTGCATTATTCTCTCATGTTCATGCATTATAAGAAAAGTGATGGTCCATTTTTTTTTTTAATACCAGGAGCCTGTCAATTGTGACAAGCATATTCAATTTTATTTCACACTTGAAAAAAAAAACAGATTCTCATGCAGAATGAACCCATAACTGCTCTGACTCAAAATGTAAAGCCCAACCCAACAATAGTATTATACGGAATTTTGAGGACGCGGGTTTGGTGAATTTGAGCCGTTTTGCATAAAGGTGCCTGTGCAATGCAACCGTTTTGCATAAAGGTGCCTTGTGCAATGCATATTTGGAATGGTCGACGTCGATATTGAGGTCTAGATGAATGAATATGTGTATTTTGCACCTCTATAAGTTCAGAAATTTCTTATGGGAAAAAATGTGTATAAATGTAGATTATAGAGCTTTGGATGATGATTTGTGAGATAAATCTCCTGCCATTGTGATATAAATATTCAGATTTTACCCAACTAAACGTGGATATGATGAACATTTCAGAGAAACTCAAAATAGTAAATACCAAAAGTTGGATAAATTAAAATTTAAAAAAAGAAAGATGGAGATGCGGGGTATCGATCCCCGTACCTCTCGCATGCTAAGCGAGCGCTCTACCATCTGAGCTACATCCCCGCTGGATGAACAATGCTTATTACAGATTACTCATAACAGTAAATTAAGTGAAAAGTGGAGGGGCTAAACTCGGAATCAATTATACTTCCTCTGCAAATTTATGCAGGGTCACTTAACTGCAATATAAGTAACCAATTTATGTATACACTGAAGTTTTGAAATAATATCAACTAGCTATTTTTGAAATGTACAAAATGTGCAAAATTATGGAAAATAACAAGACTAGACAAGATATGGAAAATTAGCTTAAATACAAGACTAGACAATAATTTTACAAACAACTATCTTGCTTGCTCCAAAATGAACTGCTTTAGAGCGTGAATACTCAGACCCGTTTGTATGATTCCTGGGAGAGTAGGAAATCGAGGTTTGTGCTCTTTTAGTTTTATTTAGCTTTCAGCTTTTTTAATTATTCTTTAGATTTTTTTTTTTTTTTAGTTTTTTAAGGATTTCATTGTATATTATCGGAGCCATAATAAGGTGTGTCATATAAAGGAACCTTGTGTGTGGTACAAACTCCATACATACACCTTAAGTAGAGATGCAACATTTGATGGACAAACAGCATCATTTGCTTAAAAAACAGCTTTTTATAATGTGTTCTTCTAATATCTAATATCGTATTGGGTAAATTTGCAAGCAACCATTCTACTCATAAGAATGTCAAAATTCTATTTACAGGCGAAGGTTAAACCAGATACCGTGCCAGCACAGACCAAACAATTCAAACTCGAGACCAAACATTAGCATTTTACATGGCAGAACTCGGTAAAAAGGAAAAAGCTTTCAGATGTAACATATTAAAAGTATTGAACACATTATATAATCTACTGATATGGACTGCACGGCAAAATGAGCAGCAAAGTAAACGAAAGATAGAAAATAAGGAAACCGAAGAAAAGCAAATGTATATAAAATTAACTTTTCAACGTCTCGAATTACCTACTAACTTAAAAAGAGGTATGTATCCAGCAGCACGAGTATAATAGTCGTGCGAATATGGATATTTAGTTTTCCAAAATTTAGCTATTTTATACACCCTTCTAGCCATGAAGAAAATCGGAACATCCATTGATGAGAAATTAAAAGTAGCGAACAACAAAGCATCCAAAATATGCTGGAAAAAAAAAAACGTCCGAACTCAGACTGTGTACGACTGCTGAATGGTGTCGATGTCGAGATTCTTCAACTTTATAACTGATTCCACATGGCCTTTCAGTGTAGTCAGCTCTCTCAGCCTGCAAAAAAAGAAAGAAAAATAAAAAAATCGAACGAACATGTTCCTCAAATGTTTGATGCTTTC